GTTTAGGGGGCAATCACTTTTTCACACAGGGTCGTGATGGTTTGGATTTTTTTCTCCTTTAATAATAAGCACCTTCATTTACAAATTGCATTTTGTGTTTACTTGTGTTGTCCTTGACTATTGTTTAAATTGGTTTGATGTTCCGAAACACTTAAGTGTGACAAACATGCAAAAAAACAGCAAATGAGGAAGGGGGCAAACACTTTTTCACACCACTGTATCACGAGACAGGGAGGACGAGGTGAAGCAGTCACTGATCTGTGAGTCAAACACTGAGAGATTTAATTTACAGAGACAGTATCAGAGAAAAACATTATATTAAATATTATATCCCACCTTAGAAACAAGGCAAGAGCAGTGGCAACTTTGTGCAGCATGCAAGATGAATTTGCAGCGGACTCCTCTCAGCTGACTGCAGCTGTGTGTGTGTGTGTGTGCGCGTGCGTGCGTGCGTGCGCGCGTGTGTGTGTGTGTAGGCTTCAGTCGGGCCGCTTTAGGAATAGGGAGGTTTGAATATATGTAATCACACTTTCACGTTTTAATACACAATATGTGTGTAGAACTCATGGCTCACTACATTTTTATGCATATGCACCGTTTATACATGAGGTCCCAGATGATGCACTTTCACATTTAGGAGTCGCACCCATTGCTGGGCATTAAGATTAAATATTCAMATTTTCACCTCCTTAAAACAATTCAGAATGTATTTGCCGTTTTTGTGCATTGAAATGAGTTTTTAACCCCCACCTTCATTATTTTATTGGCTCTGGAAGAGAAATGCATCAAGTCATGCCTTCTATGTTTCAGTGTGACCTGTTCATCCAGGAGGGTGCCAGATTAGGCAGGACCCCAGCAGAAGTGGCATCTATGTGTGACATTACTTTCTCTTGTGTCTCGGACCCCAAGGCTGCCAGAGACGTGAGTGCCATCTGTATCATCAACAGTAAGAAAAGTTATCATTTGGATATATTTGGGTCTGACTGAGGTTTCTGTTTAATCCTTTGAAGTTGGTGTTGGGACCCAGTGGAGTTCTGCAAGGAATCAGACCAGGCAAATGCTATGTGGAGATGTCCACTGTAGATCCAGAGACCATCACAGAACTGTCACAAGTATGCACCGACACACACACTCACACCAGCAGAGCCACAAATGAGGTTTCCATTCTCAGTTATACAGTATTTATTTTTTTAATGATTTTGAAACCTTTCGATCAGTTTTTTTTTCTTCTAGCAATCATGATTTTTTTTATATAGGAACAGCAGTCTGATACTTCTTGTCTGAGAAGTAGACTTGTACTGTTTTATATTTGAATGTCAGGTGATCACATCCCGGGGTGGCCGTTTCTTGGAGGCTCCAGTTTCAGGAAGTCAGCAGCTGTCCAACGATGGAATGTTGGTGATCCTGGCAGCCGGTGACAGGACGGTGTACGAGGACTGCAGCAGCTGCTTCCAGGCCATGGGCAAGACCTCGTTTTTCCTCGGTACGCAAGCTGCTCTTAAGTGTACAGTATCCTCAGAAAAACAGTAGTAATTGGGTCGGAATTGAAGTTTTTTTTTGGGGGGGGTTGTTAGTGCCAAAGCCTTTTAATAGAATATTTCAAAGTAATATGAGCCACTTAAAAGAACTCCAGAAAGTGGTTACAAGAGGAAGTGCTTGAAAAGTTTGGAGCAGTATGAAGCTATTAATGCTGTCCATACCAGGCAGCACCCAGGGGCTTTGTGTGTCAACAGTTCGGACACACAAAAAGTTGCCTGCACAATGTTCCACAAAGCGAACGTAGTGTGTAAATATATGTACACGTTTTCCCTGCAGACAGCCACRCAAGCATTTTCAGTTTACCATTTTAAACCACAAAGTTCTGAATCTCACGTATTACAAAGAAATATAACTACATTCAGTTTTCTGGATGTAAGGAGCAGAGCCAGACCAGTGGTGATTCCGTATGTTGAGGGAGTTTCAGAGRAACTGAGATGTTTTCTAAATGTGACACTTCAGTGGCTTTCTAACCCCAAAAAATGATTACAGCAAAGACTAACCTCTTTCATAAAGCTGGCAGTATGGTCGCTCGGCATTTGACCGGTCGACGCGCCGCCACGTGGTTGTTCGGCGTTCGTTTTCACACATAGTTCATAGTTCCCGAGACACCCCGAGCCGAGCTGCTGGGAAACCCCTTCCGCTCCAGCATACGTCACTGCATGGGATTCCTTCCCCGGGGAGTGCAATGCGGAGAAAAAAAGTCTGCGGCTCTTCACTCGACGTTGTTTATCCACAAACTGGTCCTGGATTAAACTCCAAAGTTTTTATCAGTCAGATTCCACTGTGAAAAATGTAATAAGGTAATAAATCTGTTGGTTAGATCCTAGGGTCGCTCACTGATGTCATCAGCTCATTATCATTTTCTGAGCACAGAACCGCGGGTTGCTTTTTCACAAGTGGGTCTGCCGGGCTCGGTCCCGGCTCTGATACTACCTCTGCTCACAGCTCAAGGACACATCAGAGGCGGGCTCATTTTACTCGCCCTTCCACCTCCATGTTTTTTCTGAATGCTCGGAGGAGGACAGAACAGGCATCAGTCCCRGACTGAGCTGTCTTATAAATGAGGCTACTGCTTCGCCCCAAAGATCCGGTCACCCGGCACAGAGTAATGTTGTGGCCAAAGTTGATTAGCTCTGCCAGCTAATTGTGGTCAGCTCCCAGCAACACAGAAATCTTGGCCTGAGTAAACTAATAAAAATTTAATGTTCACAAACGTGGTTTTATGTCTCCAGGTGAAGCGGGCAATGCATCAAAAATGATGCTGATCTTGAACATGGTCCAGGGCAGCTTCATGGCCACCATTGCAGAAGGTCTCACTCTGGCCCAGGCCACCGGCCAATCACAGCAGACCTTCCTGGACATCCTGTGCCAGGGCCAGATGGCTAGCACTTTTGTGGACCAGAAATGTCAAAGTAAGCTTGATCTTTAAGACGACTTCTGCTGATTTACATGAATTGTGATAATAGGATGTTTAATTAACATTTTGTTTGGGGCGGTCTGAGTTTTCCAGACAYGAAAAACTGCTTACATGGCATTGTTAAATATTTTAAAGCAAATCTACWAGAGTTGGATTATAGGCAGGGTTGCACATAAAATTTTTGGTCTGGTTCTCAGGGGAGAACCTAGGGTTGTTGCTTTAGCTCATATTTTCCTTCACTCATTTAACACATTTATCTATAGGGGTGTCAGGGCTTTTTTTTTTTTTTTTCAAGAAATCAGGTCGCCTTTGCGACCAAACTGGTCGCACTCTAGAGCCCTGCTAGCTGTTGTTTTGGCAGACAATCAGGTACAAGCYTAGGTACAGTACGCAAGGGAGCTTTATGACATCCCATCTGGTGCGCTTTTTCCTTTTTTTGACAGCACAAGCGCACCTGTGCACCGCTTATGTGCAACTCTGATTATAGGCTAGTTTTTTAATTTGCTGTCATCAGCTGAACAACTGAATATTGGCGTTAGATTTGCATGGGTGTCTTAAAGTGTTTTGTTTTTTTAAGAGAAAGTTAAACTAGCTAAAGCAAATCAAGGGGAAAAAAACCTGTCAGCCAATAGTCAATATACTCATACAATTTCCTAACCCTGAAGTCTCTTGCTCTTTACATTTGAAAGTGGGGCATTGACCTTTCTTCTGTGTTTATCAGATATTTTGCAGGGCAACTTTAAACCAGACTACTATTTGAAACACATTCAGAAGGACCTGAGGCTAGCCATCTCCATGGGAGACATGGCTAACCATCCAACCCCAATGGCTGCAGCTGCCAATGAGGTACACCTGTTATTTTTATGTATATATTTATTTAATATTTATTTARATGAGATTTAACATACATGACAAAATATTAGATTCAAAACAGATAATAGTTTGGAACAAAATGTTATTGTGCTGGACTTTTCTAAACTAATCATTTTGTTTTGTTTTGTATTTGTTTTGATGTCAGGGTCCAATAAAGAGTATTTTACTGTTTCCATTATAAGGACACACACATTCTTTTTTATGTTTGTTTTTGGTAACTGCCACAGAGAAGTAGCAGAGGAAGAGACTTTTGTCAAATAATTTACTTTGAGCTGCCCTGTAGTGTCTAAAACATGCTGTTCCAAATGTCATGAATTTCTCAACTGCAATAGTTAAAGCCACTTAAAGGCACAGTGTGTAGGATTTTGTCAATTCTTTTAGCCGAAACTGAGATAATCACTAATGACAATAATAAAAAAAAAC